AGAAAATGTGATCGCATCAATAAGAAAAAGATATGAATTACGTATTCAGAGGAATAGAATTCACATACACGTAGAAAAATTATTAAAAATAAAATTGTATTTTTCTTGTTCTGTTAATATTTCTATAATTTTGTTATTTGTTCGAACTCGTTCGAACTATTGTTATGTTTTTCTGTTTTCGTTTCCGGATATTTTAAAATAGAACTGTCAAAAATAAGTGCCACATATGTTATATATTTTTGTTCAGAATAAAATTTTACATCTAAAAATGTAATAATTTACAGGGTGATGTTCCATTAAAAAAATAATAATCTGTATTTCAATTTGAATTGTTTTTTGTTGCTACAAACAGAAACTTCATAAAAAACTCTATAACTTTTATTTCAACAAAATGTTTATATCTGCAAAACTAACCGAGATAAGTGGGAAAGTTAATAGGACACTCTGTACAGTCAATCCCATTATTTTGTTAGTATTTATGTTCTAATATTGTTAAGTTATAGTTTGATATAGTCATAATTTTGGTTACTATGTTACGCCATACGCCATCAGTTTGTTTCATAATGTTATGTGATCGACTGTTTCGAGAAATACATAGGTGCATTTAGAGCATTTATCAGTTGAGATTGAATCATCATTTAGAGTGTTTCTTGTCGGCATTTGTAGATACCACTTGGTTTTGTATAGCAGCAATTAAACTACTATTATTAATTATTATTGAAGTATTTTTAAATAACTATATGTATCTTTTATTAAAATGCTTTCATTATTTAGCTCTCTTCATCCTCGGAAAATTGAATTAAAAAAATAAGCAATCTGTTGAAATGTATACAAATGAAGTAAGTATGCGAAATGCTTTGAGTGAAACCCAAATTACGCTAAAAATAAACTTCCTGTTGACTTTATGTGTTTTTAATTTTGTTTATATTCTCGGAATATGTACATTACTGAAATATCTTTAGCGGATGAATCATTAAACATTGTAGGTAATTAAGGTTTTGAAAAAATATTTGTTTTAATGTAGATATGAAAAGACGCCTAAGTATATTGCTTTACAGTCATCCTACTTTTAGGAATAATGTAAAACCGCTATTACTTGTCATATACATTTGCGCACGTAATATGCGAAAAGATGTAAAATCGGTTAAATTACTAAAAAACTAGTAATGCAAGTACTGATTAATGAATAATGAATTTGAGGAATTAAATATATTTAAAAAATTAAATATCGCATGTATAAAATATTTATTAATATGACATTTTCCTAAGTAATTACTGATAAGTCGCAGTGAAACAAAAAATTAAAAAAGGAAAAACATGTGATTTTTACCTGTCAACCGATTCGCTCACTTGACCAATGCTCTTTGGAGATCAGTTAACAAATCGCAATTGTTTTAACACTCAGCGACCCTTTTAAACTATAAATATATACAGGGTGTCCCACTGAGGACTGCGTCGATTGATATCTAGAAAAGTACTGCTCCGAAAAATTTGACAATTTGGCAACATGGCAATGCCCCTGGGGCGAACACAACTAAAATATCTAGAAATCTCCAGCCCTTCAGGTTACACCGGAAGTCGACACCAACTTCGTTATTTTAAATGGGACATTCTATATATTATTGCATTTTCGGATTCTACGTGAAATTTGAGGGTAACTTTATTAAATCTTCCCTATACCTATAGACAAGGCGAAAACCTCGCATTCGTGGGAAAAATTTTCCGACTCGATTTTTTTGCATATTCAGATTCGTGAGATGTTCCTTAACATGAATCAAGATGATGCCGGCCGGAAATCTGGTGCACATTTGTTTAAACAAACTTCTTTTAAACAAATTGTAAACATTTTTTTTTCACTCCCGAAATATTTTATTTAGGTTTTTTGGCACATTATAAACAAAAAAGTTCCTATGTACTATGGCTCTAAAATTGATAGTTTTAAAGTTATAAACAATTTAAGTTGCTAAAAATGCGAAAATGACGATTTTCAACGGCCGATTTTCGGGTTAAAAATTGTTGTTTTTGATGTTGCCAGGTGCCTAAATTAAAGTTTAAACATCCCCCTACAAGATGCTGAAGAGTTTTTGGGACTCGCATTATTCTAAAACCTTGTTTTTTAATTGTTAATAAAGCGCTATGAGCCGTGCGCGCGCCTCTCTCATACGCGGATTTGCCATTTCCTCTAGCGGCTTCAGCTTATGTTCTTTGAATTTAGCATTCTAAGAAGTACTATTACTACTCATAAAATAATGTAAAAATTGAATATTTAAATTTCATAATTCGTAATAATTTTATTTAATTAATTCAAAATTGTACGAATGGAGTGCAGAAAAAAATAAAAGGGCAATAGTATCAAATACATTTGATTTTTATTAAAGAACATTTATTAAATACTGCATATTAATATTATCACGCATTTATTCAATCATAAGAATTCTCACACTGTTCTATGTTACAACCACATAAAGGTACACAAGTGACATAGTTTTTCCTACAAGAACAAGCTTTAGTCTTACAGTTTTTTGTACATTTACATTATTTAACTAAGTCTTTGGCTAATGGATCTTTGGAAATGATAATAAGCTGAAGCCGCTAGACGAAAAAGCGAATCCGCGTATGAGAGGCGCGCGCGCGGCTCATAGAGCTTTATTAACAATTAAAAAACAAGGCTTTAGAATAATGCGAGTCCTAAAAACTTCAGCATCTTGTAGGGGGGTGTTTAAACTTTAATTTAGGTACCTGGCAACATCAAAAATAACAATTTTTAACCCGGAAATCGGCCGTTTGCATTTTTAGCAACTTAAATTGTTTATAACTTTAAAACTATCAATATTAGAGACATAGTGCATATGTACTTTTTTTTATTATAATGTGCCAAAAAGCCGAAAAAAAATTTCCGGAGTGAAAAATCCAATTTTTACACTTTGTTTAAAAAAAGTTTGTTTAAACAAATGGGCACCAGATTTCCTGCCGGCATCATCTTGATTCATGTTAAGGAACATCTCACGAATCGGAATATGCAAAAAAATCGAGTCGGAAAATTTCTCCCACGAATGAGAGGTTTTCGCCTTGTCTACTAGGAGTTATAGATTTTGAGATATTAATATTTAAAGAAAAAATTTGACAAATGAAAAGGTCCGCAGAGATGCTAGTAACTCTTTTCAGGAGCGAGATATCAAGTGGATTTTTGGTACCTACCTGTAAAGGGCATAGGGAACACTAAATTGGTATACCAACAAATTAAAACATTTAATACTAGGTGTTTCATTTTTGCTGGTACATTTTGATAACTTCAAACAGCTATAACTTTGTTAACTTAAATGAAACAACCTGTATTTTTTTACTCTGCCATATAAGTTATTGTGAGGGTTGCCGTTATTACTTTTAGAGATATTTGCAATTTTCTATTTTTTGGACAGTTTTTCTCGTATCAGACCTGTTGTCAAATTGGCCATGACCAGAAACACTCCAAAAACAATTGAAATAACTTGACATTTGTCAAATTAATTGTCAAATTATTGTTGTGTCTGAATAGTTTTTGCTGAAAATTTAAATAAAAAATACCTGGATAATAATAACAACCAAAAAAAAATCCAGTATCTCGGAAAATATGGACCATGCCAATTTTTCACAGGTTATACTAACTCCTCAAAGGATGCGCTATAAATATGATCGACTTGCAATGAGGTCAAGAGCGTATAATAATATAGCACCGGAAAAAAATCTAATATCTTGGAAAATATAGACCATGTCAAATTTCCACTAGCTACATCCCAAAGGATGAGATCTAGGAAGTATAAGATAGCACTCGAAAAAAAAACTAATATTTCGGAAAACCGCGTATAGACCGGGCCCAATGCAAACCGTTGTAGACATTAACAATTTGATATTATTGCAGCACATTTGATCGACGTTGCTCTTTAAAACAATAATATATGGGACGACGAAGATGATCAATATTAGTGCAAGTGCTTTATAGTAAATATCTACTGATCTTTCCTTAAAAAAAAAGATAACACTGCTCAGGCGCTGGGGAATCACAATTTAGAAATGGGAATACACAATGGAAACAATTTATTGGATTCCCATTAAAATTAGATGCTTTGCAGAAAAAACTGATATACACAGGTATTTTGCTTGGTGGTATAAGAAATTTAAAACTTAGTTTACCAGTTCAATCCATAATAAAACTCCAGGGATCACGGAAAGTATTTTATCATTTATTCGTTATATTCTCTGTTCTTCTTAGCATCTCGCCTAATTTATTTTCCACATTTTAATTATATTATTTTACAAACTATTTATCTAAAAAATAGGAATTGAAGAGCTCATGTTAAAAAAATCACTGATCACTACAATGACATCAGTGATAGATTTTTTATGATTTATTAAAATATATTTGTTTTTGCACAACTGAAAATAATTTTACTATGTATGTATATTAAAATACACAAAACCGAAAAACTGCAATCATGTACCTACACTAGGCACACCTTTTTTTAAATGACACGATCATTTCCGTTCTCAGAACAGAAGCAACCGAATCCCTATAGGTAACTGGATTAGAAATAATTTGAATGTATCAAACGTGCAGAATGTGCATTTGACTGCGTTGGAATGTCGGCTCAAAATCAAACCAATTGCTTCAAAGCTGTAATGACCCACCTAGAAAAATTATAGCTCATCTTTGGGTCCACCCGATTTCGTGGGTCTTTTTATATGATACCTAAAGACATGTAAATCCACTTTTGTCAAATTTGAATATATTTTATTAAGAGGAAATAATTCAATTAATAATCTGGTACTAAAATAAATTTCAATTCAGATAACCACCCTGTACGTTTGCTGAGTAAGAGTCATGTAATGTTAATCAAAATAGACTTGTTTTAAATGATGATCATGATGATGATATCATCTTTAATTCGCTTAAGTTGAAGTAGATTTCTTACTTTGTACATACACTAGTTATAGTTAAATACATATCCTGAGGCTAAGGCCGAAATACAATTAACAATACATTTTTATAAAATCAATCAATACTAAGTTAACTAAACACTAATTTGTAAGTAACCGTATTTAATGTATTTCACATAATAATCTTTCTACATCTACATATAAAGGCGACAAATTTTGAAGCAGATATTTTTTTAGGGACTACACAAGTAAGAAGTTTGAAATTAAGTAGGTATATACTACCACTTCAACTTTCATTTTTGAAGAAAAGAGTAAGTAAATTCTTTTTCTATAAAGGTATTCTTTCTAAAATTTTAAAAGAATTCAGATTTCATTTTCTGTTTTTTTTTTTTCATGAGAAGATAATTCATGACAATCCCTATCTATCAAATGCAGTTTAAAAAAAATTTGCCAGGATATTAAGTTCTGTTTCAATTTGTGACAATATTTTTACTTCCATTCTTTTTTTCTAAAACTATGCAAAGTACCTACCCTTGCATACAAGTACACCTATTATCTTCAGCAACAGAACAAAACATAAATAAATTGCTTGATATATTTAAAAAATTTTAAAAAATGAAATGTTAAATTCTTACTTATTTTTTTGCGGTTTTTACCTAGTGCAGTCAATACGGGACTCCCCGTATTTATATACATATCAGAAGTAGCATTGTTAAATTAATTTCAGTATTTCAAAGATATTATTTTTTATTTTGCCTATGTAAGGTACACATTTTCATATATTTTGTCATCTTCAAAAATAATCACTTCATGCCCTCATCTTTCACTGCAGATACTTTAATCGCCATTCACCTATTTGTGGAAAAAGTGAGGTTAACAACTCTAACAAAAGTGTATGAATAAGTAGGTAATCAGAAGGTTGGTGAACTTACCAATAATAAACAAAATCCAAACAGCACAAAATCCGGATGCTCTATTCTTCATAATTCCTTTACTGCTTTCCCATATCACGTCCTTTACATAAAATGTATACTATCTACATATCAATGCTACAGCTGCATGTCACCAAAACTTTGTCTAATCTTAACACAGAATCATCTTCTGTAATTTGGCTTAGCAATTTAAGTACACTTTTGCCACTAAGCACACGTGTCTAAATAAATACCCACTTACGTTAAATAAAACGCGTTTCAGCGACCCAACTCTCGACAGAATGTTGAAATTCTACTCGTTCGGTTTCAGTTACTATTCGTGGTGGAGTATTGACCGGGAATCCAGTGTCTTGCGCCGAACCACCGCCTCTCCCCCGCAGACAGAAGCAGATCTGGTGCCATTTGGGCCGTTGAGCAGGCAAACCCATTAAAATCTTCCGTCAAAGTGCGAGTATTTTAAGTATTCCACTACCAACGCCGTAATACAAATAGGTCGCACCTCATGTTTATTAGAAGGCACAAGTAGATCTATTTTATAATGGAATTACCCTATTTAATTTTTTGCAATTATAATGCAATTAATTAGTTCATAATTTTCGTTTGATTCTTTGTAAATTTAGTAATTTTTTAGGCACCTATTTAAAAAACCTTCATGTATATAAATTGCATCCACACCACCATGTATGTAGGTATAGGTATATGCTAATAAATTTAGCATAGTTTATAGATATGTATACCTATTCGTTGGCAAAAGCAACGGAAGTAGGTAGAAGAACTGAGTAGTGAGTTTACGTAATTGTTTCATATTTTATTAAAAATCTGCCATCACCTTACATTAAACTAAAGATTATATGATATGAAAACGCCGAATAACTACATAAATTAATAATTTATTGTGTACCACTTTTATTTTTAATTAAATTGAAAATAAAATTATAGAAAAAATACTTTTTTTCTGCAATTTTATTAGGGTTGACCTGGATGTGAGATTTCCGATAATTGTGAATTCGAATCGGAATGTAATCAAATAAACTGATCTTCTCGAATATAATTTCGGAAAAATGAACTAAAAATAAATAATAAATAATAAAAAATAAAACCTAGAAATAAATCAAGAACTTCTCTAATGTATGCAAAAGTAAAATTAACAGCAAAAAATATATTTGGCTCAATATACGAAGAATACTACAATTTAATTACTTTGAAGAATTGTTTTGTCACTGAAGATAAGAAAATATGTAACACATCTAAAAATATTATTATTTAAATAAAAAGAAAAACATATTTTAATTGTATTATCACCAGTGTTATGATTTTATTATAATAAAGTTTGATTTACAATACAAATGGCATTTTCGTGATACGTAAAACCCTTTTCTTAGGAATCAAGTTGCTCATAGTTATTTCTAGGTATGTCGAGTGCTCAAAATTCAAACAAATTTCGATCTAATTTTTTTCAGGATATTCATACAAATAGATCTGACATGCTCTTTCACAGTTGCGGTTACAGGTATAATAAATTCCGATCAATTTATGCTTATTTTCATTTTCAACATTTGCCAAAACGGAAACGTTTTTGAACATTTACTGTAATTTTTGAAAGTATAATATTTATTTGGAGTTTTGGTGGTTCATATACATTTTTAAGAATTAATTTGTCATAAAGAAATTAAAATTGTAGCAATGTTTTTATTTTGACGCAACAACTTATCGAATTATGTACGTCTAGGTGATGGAGATTAAAACTCTAATAATGTTTTATTGTAACGTGTTATGGTAATAGTTTACATAACTAGGTGGATTTCACAGGGTCTAACCACACTTAGAGTGTACGATAATGCAAGAAACATAGAAATCTAAATAAAAAATTTAGATAAATTAGGAACAAATATTTTGAGGATGAATTTTTTGATACAAAACGCCTGAATCTGATTCGGACTGAGGCAGTACAGAATTGGAAGTCATGAAGGCTTGCAAAAAATGTAATACAATTTCCAGGGTCGTAGTTAAAAAAATGAAGTTGATAATGGTCATGGAGAGACGAAACATAGAAATTGATGGATGACAACAAGTTTCCCCCAGACAAAATTTTCAATGTGGATGAGACGGGCATAAGTGTGGTTCCATCCCAGATACCCCAGGTTCTGAGTCAAAAGGGGAAACGGCAAATTGGTACTTTAACATCTGCTAAAAGGGGCTCTTTGATAACTTGCGTGATAAGTATGAGTACAGGAGGATCATTTGTTCCATCCATGATTATATTCCCAAGAAAAAGACGCCATCCGCTTTTAATGAAAGGTGCGCCTCCTGGTGCCATATATGAATATCACCCTTCAGGTTGGATCCAAACAAACTTATTTACAAAGTGGTTTCAACATTTTATCCAACACGTGAAACTCACTGAAGAATCTCCGGTATTGCTTATTCTAGATGGCCACACAAGTCATACAAGAAATCTTGAATTGATAGACCTTGCAAGAAAAAATCATGTCTACTTACTCTCAATTCCCCCACATTCCAGCCACAAAATACAACTACTTGATAAGTCAGTCATTCATGGGACCACTAAAAATATATATTTCTGATGAAATAAGATCATGGGTTAGGAACAACTCACGCCCACTAGGCCAAAATGAAATGATGGAAGTATTTGGACCTGCATATCTACGTACTCAAAGCGGTGAGATAGCTGTCAGTAGTTTTCGTGCTACAGGGTTATATCCTGTTAACAGGAATGTTTTTAAAGATCACGATTTTATTGATATGGATAATGAGCAAGAATATAGACTCGCCAATCAAGAAAATATTACACCAGAGCCAACCACTTCATCTTCCACTCCTTATGCTCCTCCTGCTATAGAAAATGAATCTGTTGACATGACACCCACCATAAATGAACCTGCTATGAGTAATGCGATGGCTACTGATGTAACCTCTGTTTCAAGAGACGACAACAAAACACCGCCTGTATGTTTTGAACAAGTTGCAGCTCCCATTACAAGGTCACCACATCCATCGACTTCAAGAGACTTTATAACGCCATTTCAATTGTCCCCGATACCACAATTAGCACCTAGGAAAACTACTAACCGAGGCAGAAAGGCTGCTAAGTCGACATTGCTTACTTCCTCCCCGTACAAAAATGAATTGCAAGACTATATAAAAAAGAAACAAGACCAAATCAAAAAGACACTGAATAAAGGAAAACAAGGAAAGGGCAAAGGTAAAAAGACAAAACCAAGATCCAAGCAGGTAGAAATGTCTAGCTCAGAAGAAGAACCTTTGTGCAATGACAGTTCTGACGAAAGTCCAGATAGAAGCAATGTTAATGATGCAAAGTGTTTATATTGTGAAGATCTCTATTCTATGAATACCAGAGGTGAAATATAGGTTCAATGCCTATGTTGCGTTGCAAATTATGGGCTCATGAAGAATGCTCAGGAGTGGAAACGGACGTTTTTTTCTGCGAATTTTGTTCTGCAAAATAATGCAAAGTTTATTTCTTCTATTTTTTTATTGTATTTGTTATGGAGGGCAATATGGCTCACTACATTTGTGGCCAATATGGCCCTAGGCCATATTACCTACCACGGTTAAATTTTTAAGATGTCGACATTTAAAAAAACGTTTATTTTAATTTTGTTTGATAATTAATAACCTTAAATTTATAATTGTTGATTACTATTAAGTTCAAAGAACTGATTTAACCAATAAAAACTGATTGATCTCAATTTTATTTTATTTTATTTTATTTCCAAAAAATCTTATGGTGTTACCCAAAGTTACTCTACATATAAAAATTGATTATGCCATTGGAAAGAGGGCAAAAAGATGTTCTTTTTTCAATATCACCTTAAACAAGGCTGAAATTAAACAAAATCGGATTTCCAAAATTTCGATTTTTTTCAAATATTTCGAACACTAATCATGTTAGCCTTGATTTTTTAGAGGCATAATGTGGATCCCCTGGTTACGCAACTTTGCCCCCATTTAAGCTACTTCGTATCTCTTACCGTTTCCGAGATCCCTGTAGTTAGAAGCGAATTTGTAACAGCCTGTATATAAATATAAATTATCAACTACATTATCGTCATTGATGCAACATCAGTACATCTTATTACTTTATTTTATAACTTGAAGTTAATAGAACGAAGTCAAACAGGGTTCTTTGATATTAAAAAGTCACGGATGATATCTGGAAAACAACTACTCTATGTACTACATGCCCCGACTACCATTGAATTATACTAACAATAGCTAGTTAACAGTTAATTACTAATAACTATCTAAAATAAAAATTAAAAACGATATTTAAATGTTATTAATTTAAAAACACATACTTGGCATTTCTTTACATTTTTGTTGCTCTAATATTATTTTTTTTTAATTCTGAATATTAAGGCTCTTAAAATAAAGTACCTAAGTAAGTAGCATTTCATTTCTCTAAAGGCCGTTAAAGCTCTTTCCAAAATTGCGGGGGTTCCGAGCCCTTGCCCCGATCTGATGTATGGTAGTTACGCCACTGCCCTAACTTTGCAATAGCAAAATATAAAACAGAAAGCAGTATATTATATAAATGGTGCTTCAAACTTGATGCTTCGACTCGCTGGAGCAAAACAAAAAAAAAACATAAATAAATAAATTAACATAATTATCTGAAATGAAGCTAATCGGGGTCCATTGCAATTTTCGTCAAGATTTTTTTTGCTTTCTCTATCGGTTTAAAAGTTACGCATAATTATTCTTCCAAGAAAATGTCGGAATGAAGTATGAATTACGTGTTGTAATAGAAAATAAAACTCAAGGAAAAAGTTTTTCCCTATATTAGGTACAAAAAACAAATTTTTGAAAATAAATAATTTTAAACGTAAATATAAAACAAAAGATTTAATCAATTTTTGGCCTTAATTGTCTTCTGTATTTTTATGATTTTTTTTTAAGAATGCAGGTATTTCCCTTAAGTTTTTAATAATATCCATTGCCAATTTAACCATTAATTTGATAAAGTGACAACAAAAGTCTTAAAACCATTGAAATTTATCAACTTTTCTCCAAGGATATAAGTACTAGATGGACTAAAGTCTATACTTTTGCAAGATTTCTCCGTTTTCTCAATAATATTTATCGTAATTTATATGGTTTTATGGTTTTAATTTTTTGCAGTTTTTATGATGTTCTATAACTTGTTGGTTTATAAGAAAATTTGATTTTTAAAAAGAAATTTCTTACCTAGAATCTACTGACGAGTGTTATATTTTTCTATTCTATACCTCTGGTTTTCAGTTATAACAATCAGCTTATTTTTTTTTTAATGGAATAGAATCTGCATAAAATTGTCACTTATAATCTCCATATTGTAGTCTTATTGACTTAAATATGAATTAAACTTG